CGACAGGAGGGGTCCCTTCCTCTGCGCCTTGGTCCTCGAGGAGAGGAGGTCCAGGACCTTCTCCCGCCCAAGACCAAGGGCGTCCGTCTTAGCGAAGGACACGCTGGGGTGCCCCTCGATGAACGCATCGAGGTCGACTCTCGTTGCGTTTTTTGCCGATGACGTGGAGGACGCAAAGGTCTCCTCCACGATGGACATCTCCACGTCCGGTGTTGGGGCCGCAGGCTCGCGACTCCCAGGTGTTCGCAGGGACGGAGCAGGGGTCACTGGTGGAGGGGCAGGAGGCGTCTCCTTCATAGGAAAGGCTGGGGCCGCTGTTGGAGATGGCCGAGGTGCGGATGAGTGGAGCGCAGCTCGGGCCACGGGAGGAGCGCCGCAAACCTCCATGGCTGGATTGGTGGGTGTCGGCGCAGGAGGCTGGGATGCTGACCGCTGAGGAGGTGCAGGGGTGGTCGGTTCTGGTGTTGTTGGCCAGCCCTGCAAGCAGGGGGCAGATGGCCCTCCGATGCCCTTGTCCGTGGCACCTGGAACACCTGATGCCCGAGGACAGGTACGCAGGCCAGGCCTCGCCTTTGATGTTGATGTCGAGGCGGGTTGGAAGCCTCTCGATGGTGATCCCCTCATGTAGGGTGATGAAGACGTCTCGCCGGCCATCGACGTAGACGTAGGGGCCCGCCTTCATCTGCTTAGGGGCGATGGACGTGACCCGCCCATATGGAGAGAGGGCGTTGATGACAGCGGAGTCTCCTATAAAGAAGGGGAGGTTACCCACTGTAATCCTTTCCGCTCTTTTGCGGAAAGGGAATGCCCTGAGGAGTGTTCCCTCGACCTCGAGGCCCTCACTTATGAGGCGCTCGGCTAGGCCTCTGTTGGTCAGTCCCAGGAGCTGGTGGCCGTTCACCTTGGTGATCTGGATGACTCCGGCAGTTCCTCCGAGCATCCTATCCAGTGCCCTAAGGTAGTGGAAGGGCTTCAGTTCGGAGCTGTGTTCGATGTACACACTGTGTTCCTCGGAGGAGGACGCCTGCCGCGCCCTGGCTTCCGCGATGTGTGCTCTGGTGACCCTGATTTCCTGGGCCCGCGGCACCGAACCCGCCGATGGTTGAGGTCGGCGAATGGTCCTGGAACCTCCAGCATTGGAGGATGGTGCAGCTGCCGTAGGCGAATTTGCCGAGCCACGGCGCCTCTTCCTACCCTGGACGAGGGTAAATCCTTCCTCAGCTCCAGGATTCACCTCTTCTGTGATGTCAGCCCAGTTTCTCCGGACTTGAGCAGCGGCGTTAGCAGTTGGAATAGCCGCAAGAGGTCGACCGGCGCGGCAGAATTTGCATCCTGGCTGCCGGCGGGCGGATTTACATAGTTTTCATTTTCTTTTGAATTCATCGAGGAATTGATCTGCAAAACGTCTTTTGCTGTTATTACCGCACTGGGCTGTGCTTTAGAGCCGAGCCTTACAGGCTTGTCTTCGGCTTTTGACGGGCTTTCAGCCCATACCATATTTGTCGCCATCCGCGACACTTTCCGCCCGCCAGAGGCGAAAAACTCAGGAGCTCGCGCGACGCGTGGCCGCACGGCCGAGTGTAGACATGTGGTGTACTTACAGTAAAAGCAGTCGCTAACTACCCGCCATGATTATCATGGCCTGTACCATATGTAGACATGTGGTGTACTTACAGTAAAAACAGTCACTAACTACCCACCAGGATTATCATGGCCTGAACCATGTATAGACATGTGACAATTATTTTTTTTTTGACAATTAAAATACCTTTATTGACTTCTTGGTCAATTAGTATACTCCGAATAGTTAAGCAACATTGATATTTACAAATGATATTTCACATCAGGCAGTTCCTCACTGAGGGTCCTCTGGACTCTGTCAGGGGGGTAACATCCTTCTGAGCTCGTGTAAAAACTCACGTGCAAAGGGATGTATGTCCCGAGCGTGCTCAATGGCAGCGCTGATGATTTCGGCGAGGATATTTTTCCTCCGAATGGAAAGTCTCCTGAGGAGAGGCTCCCTGTCCTCGGGGCATATGATAGCATCCGTGATGTCACCCTCTGAGAGTCTCAACTCGGATAAGTGCTCCGAGTAGGGTTCACGGCCTAAGGCATCTATTATGTCATGTGCTTCCCTCCAGCGTTCATCAATAAATCGGGGAGACAGTGGAGGTGGAGGTGTCGCCATGTCCGGTGTCGTCTTTTCCCCGTGGGGAGCAGGTGGTGCTGGCTCAGCAGGCCGAGGCGCAGGCAGTGGAGGTGTAGGCACTGCGGCTGGTGTTGTCCTCAGCTCAGCTTTGACTTGTCCGAGGACCTTGTATAGATTGGTGGCTGCTCCGGGCCTCAGATCCAAGATTTGCCCAATCAGGCCGGCGAAGGCGTCGCCCTGCGGAGGCGACAGGAGGGGTCTATTCCTCTGCGCCTTGGTCCTCGAGGAGAGGAGGTCCAGGACCTCCTCCCGCCCAAGACCAAGGGCGTTCGTCCCAGCAAAGGACACGCTGGGGTGCCTCTCGATGAACGCATCGAGGTCGATTCTCGTTGCGTTCTTTGCTGATGACGTGGAGGACGCAGAGGTCTCCTCCACGATGGACATCTCCACGTCCGGTGTTGGGGCCGCAGGCTCGCGACTCCCAGGTGTTCGCAGGGACGGAGCAGGGGTCACTGGTGGAGGGGCAGAAGGCGTCTCCTCCATAGGTAAGGCTGGGGCCGCTGGTGGAGATGGCCGAGGTGCGGATGGATGGAGCACAGCTCGGGCCACGGGGGGGGGGCGCTGCAAACCTCCATGGCTGGATTGGAGGGTGCCGGCGCAGGAGGCTGGGCTGCTGACCGCTGAGGCGGTGCAGGGGTGGTCGGTGGTGGGACGCCAGCAGGAGTGGTTGGTGGGGCCATTCTGGTGTTGTTGGCCAGCCCTGCAAGCAGGGGGCAAATGGCCCTCCGATGCCCTTGTCCGTGGCACCTGGAACACCTGATGCCCGAGGACAGGTACGCAGGTCAGGCTTCGTCTTTGATGTTGATGTCGAGGCGGGTTGGAAGCCTCTCGATGGTGATCCCCTCATGTAGGGTGATGAAGACGTCTCGCCGGCCATCGACGTAGACGTAGGGGCCCGCCTTCATCTGCTTAGGGGCGATGGACGTAACCCGCCCATATGGAGAGAGGGCGTTGATGACAGCGGAGTCTCCTACAAAGAAGGGAAGGTTACCCACTGTAATCCTTTCCGCTCTTTTGCGGAAAGGGAATGCCCTGAGGAGTGTTCCCTCAACCTCGAGGCCCTCACTTATGAGGCGCTCGGCCAGGCCTCTGTTGGTCAGTCCCAGGAGCTGGTGGCCGTTCACCTTGGTGATCTGGATGACGCCGGCAGTTCCTCCGAGCATCCTATCCAGTGCCCTAAGGTAGTGGAAGGGCTTCAGTTCGGAGCTGTGTTCGATGTACACACAGTGTTCCTCGGAGGAGGACGCCTGCCGCGCCCTGGCTTCCGCGATGTGTGCTCTGGTGACCCTGATTTCTTGGGCCCGCGGCACCGAACCCGCCGATGGTTGAGGTCGGCGAATGGTCCTGGAGCCTCCGGCATTGGAGGATGGTGCAGCGGCCGTAGGCGAATTTGCCGAGCCACGGCGCCTCTTCCTACCCTGGACGAGGGTAAATCCTTCCTCAGCTCCAGGATTCACCTCTTCTGTGATGTCAGCCCAGTTTCTCCGGACTTGAGCAGCGGCGTTAGAAGTTGGAATAGCCGCAAGAGAGAGAGAGAGAGAGAGAGAGAGGTCGACCGGCGCGGCAGAATTTGCATCCTGGCTGCCGGCGGAGGGATTTACATAGTTTTGATTTTTTCTCAAAACAATTGGAATTTCGCTCTGCAAATCTTGATTTGCGGATAATTCTGCACATGGTTGTGCTAGTGAGCCGTGCCTAACAGGCTTTTTCTCTGCTTTTGACGGGCTTTCAGCCCATACCATATTTGTCGCCATCCGCGACACTTTTCGCCCGCCAGAGGCGAAAAACTCAGGAGCTCGCGCGACGCGTGGCCGCACGGCCGAGTGTAGACATGTGGTGTACTTACAGTAAAAGCAGTCGCTAACTACCCACCATGATTATCATGGCCTGTACCATATGTACTAGAGATAAGCAAAAAATAATTATCAAAATTATATAAAATCTGACTCTGATGGTAGTTATATGGAACTGTCGTTGTCAGAAGTCTATCTCCAAGGAATCCCTGCACCAAGTGACAGATCTCTGCTCTGTGTCTGAGGAGTGTGGAGAGAGACTGCCCGCTCTGGTAGCCCTGGGTGGTCTCAACCCTGCCGACATCGAAGACAAGGTGCCCGGTGAGTTCTGTGATGTTCTCTCTGTGGTTTGGAACAACGTTCAATTTGGCCTTAAATACCCATTTCTTGGTTTTATAGGAAGCCACTGGGACCAAAAATCTTTTTTGGTCGCAGTGGTTACAGCTTACTCCACGCTAACGAGCGTCAACAGCGCGAAACGCGTTCGTGGATGGCTTTTCTTGATTTATCAAGAAATTGGGTTGGCCAAATATCAGGGAACATGTTAAATCAATGTTTAGTTGATCTTTGTTCCACTAGATTGCGCTCTGCTATCTGTAAATCACATGTGCTCCTGGTCAGGATATGCTTTCTTTGTTTTTAATGTTCAGGTTGTGTGTCTAGGGACCGCCTTCTACCAGCTTGACAGTGAAGCTAAGTACTGGCGATCTTGTGGACGTTTGCCACAGCCCCGCTATCACCATTGCGCTGTGTTCCTGGATGGATACATCTATGTGCTGGGTAGGTCATCTATTCATCATTACTCTTCACAATTCATCCTTTCATACTTCATCCCTAAGGATAGAAATAATCGTTATTTCTCCCTAAAATAAATTTCGATTTTTCGTTCAAAAGAAACATTTGCGGTTAAATTTGGCAAACGTAGTTCTACAATCATAAGCCGTATTATATTGTATTATAAATTAACTTTATATAATATTTACGAACGGAAAAATATGTCCAGGGTAGCTTAGTGGACATGGCATCTGCCCGGTAAGCGGAACATTGTGGGTTCGATTCCCATCCCTGGATACTTTATTTTTCCGTTTATCATTACTTTTCACAATTCATCCTTTCCTACTTCATCCCTAAGGATAGAAATAATCGTTATTTCTCCTTAAAATAAATTATGATTTTTTCGTACTAAAGAAACATTTGCGGTAAAATTGACAAATGACGTTCTACAAGGAATGTATTGTTCACCTAAGCATCAATGACACAGGAGGTTGTGACCCGCGGGACGGGACTCCGAGCCGCGCTACCTTCACCTACAGACTGCGGACGGCATCGTGGCGTAAACAGAAGTGCATGATCTACGCCCGTGTCTACCACGGTGCTACTGCTGTGAGGGGAGCTGTCTACGTCGTGGGCGGCAAGGACGACCGTGGGGAGTAAGTAGTGCCTACAACAGTCGGTAGATACTCCTTGTGCGATATTTTATTTCAAAACTCATATACACCCATACCTCGCTTTGCGTCGGGGTTACGTTCCAAAAAAACCCGACGCAAATTGAAACGATGCAAAGTGAAAATAAATTGGCGCAATCAAAAACAAAAGTGTTGCCATATTTTGGGGAAAAAAATAAATTAAAAAAAAAATTAAAGACTCGAATCCAAAACAACGCAACTTCGAAAATCTAACGACGCACAGTGAAAATCAGTAAAAATTAAGCAGCGACGCAACTTCGAAAAAAACGCAAAACGAAACGACGCAAAGCGAGGTATTGGTGTATCTTTAATAAACGACTACATGGTTGGGGGGACAAATATTTTACAGTATTTCTACAAATAGAGTCTCTGCACGATGTAGATTTCTAATCCATGTATAAATATAATCGACTTTACTTCTATTAAGAATCTTTAAAATGTCTTTTTTAGTATATGAATTACCATCCTCCTGAAACTATATGTTGCATATATGCATAGGTCGCCTCTTCCGTCAAAATAGACTTCAAATAGATGGCGTCTAGTTTTGACGTCTATTTTGACGGGAGAGGCGACCTTTGTCTCTTTAGATCAATTTCCTCCCAACAAAATTTCCATCTATATTTTAGCCATAGATTTGGCTCAGCCACTTTGTCAGCTAAACACCTCTTTGTCAGATTGTGAAGATTCCATTAGATCCCGTGTGGATCTCATGGAATAAAGTCCGACCTGGACTGACGAGGGCCATTAGCCAGAAACCATGGTCTCTAGGTGGACACTTCTCAGTTTACCAAAGCTGGTGTTGTGGCTTTGTCACCGATCCGAGTTCGCTAGTTTGCGGCGATAATCAATAGATAGAATCTAGTTTTGACATCTATTTTGACGGGGAAGGCGACCTTTACTTTTATAGAACAATTTCCTCCCGGAAAAACCCCCATCTATGTAAATTTTTGGTCGCAGAGTAACAGCCTGCACCACGCTGACGAGTGTCAAAAGCCTGAAACACGTATGTGGTTGGCTTTTCAGGATTTATCAAGAAAATGGGTTGGCCAAATATCATGGAACTATTTTATCAACGTTTAGTTGATTTCTGTTCCACTAGATGACGTTCTGCCGTCTGAAATGTTCATGTGTGCGGTGAGAAAATATCAATTGTAACATATTTACATACTGTAACGTTTCCTATATAGAAATAAGAGATGGTCACAATACTTTGTGTTTTAATATTTAATTAAATTCTGTTTGTGTTCTTAATATTTATTTATATTGTCACAACACACACAACAAACTCTTACAATAGTGTGACATTCAGTTGCCAAGCTGAAGTGTTCTTTAGGGAGTATTGCTAATTGAAAAGAAAAAGGTAATTTTGGTGGTGAAAACTGTCCGTTGTAGAGAGGTGTCCTCTAGTGGGAGTGTTCTCTCATGGAGGTTGTTCTACTGTATTGATGATGGAAACTGTCCGTTGTGAAGAGGTGTCCTCTAGTGGGAGTGTCCTCTCATGGAGGTTGTTCTACTGTATTGGTGATGGAAACTGTCCGTTGTAGAGAGGTGTCCTCTAGCAGGAATGTCCTCTAATGGAGGTTGTTCTACTGTATTGGTGATGGAAACTGTCCGTTGTAGGGAGGTGTCCTCTCATGTAGGTTGTTCTACTGGATTGGTGATGGAAACTGTCCTTTGTAGAGAGATGTCCTCTAGTGGGATTGTTCTCTCATGGAGGTTGTTCTACTGTATTGGTGATGGAAACTGTCCGTTGTAGAGAGGTGTCCTCTAGTGGGAGTGTCCTCTCATGAAGCATGTTCTACTGTATTGGTGATGGAAACTGTCCGTTGTAGAGAGGTGTCCTCTAGTGGGAGTGTCTTCTCATGGAGTTTGTACTACTGTATTGGTGATGGAAACTCTCCGTTGTAGAGAGGCCTCCTCTAGTGGGAGTGTCCTCTCATGGAGGTTGTTCTACTGTATTGGTGATGGAAACTATCCTTTGTAGGGAGATGTCCTCTAGTGGGAGTGTCCTCCCATGTTGGTTGTTCTACTGTATTGTTGATGGAAACTGTCCGTTGTAGAGAGGTGTCCTCTAGCAGGAATGTCCTCTAATGGAGGTTGTTCTACTGTATTGGTGATGGAAACTGTCCGTTGTAGAGAGGTGTCCTCTAGTGGGAGTGTCCTCTCATGGAGGTTGTTCTACTGTATTGGTGATGGAAACTATCCTTTGTAGGGAGATGTCCTCTAGTGGGAGTGTCCTCCCATGTTGGTTGTTCTACTGTATTGTTGATGGAAACTGTCCGTTGTAGAGAGGTGTCCTCTAGCAGGAATGTCCTCTAATGGAGGTTGTTCTACTGTATTGGTGATGGAAACTGTCCGTTGTAGAGAGGTGTCCTCTAGTGGGAGTGTCCTCTCATGGAGGTTGTTCTACTGTATTGATGATGGAAACTGTCCGTTGTGAAGAGGTGTCCTCTAGTGAGAGTGTCCTCTCATGGAGGTTGTTCTACTGTATTGGTGATGGAAACTGTCCGTTGTAGAGAGGTGTCCTCTAGCAGGAATGTCCTCTCATGGAGGTTGTTCTACTGTATTGGTGATGGAAACTGTCCGTTGTAGAGAGGTGTCCTCTAGTGGGAGTGTCCTCTCATGGAGGTTGTTCTACTGTATTGATGATGGAAACTGTCCGTTGTGAAGAGGTGTCCTCTAGTGAGAGTGTCCTCTCATGGAGGTTGTTCTACTGTATTGGTGATGGAAATGTTCGTTGTAGAGAGGTGTCCTCTAGCAGGAATGTCCTCTCATGGAGGTTGTTCTACTGTATTGATGATGGAAACTGTCCGTTGTAGAGAGGTGTCCTCTAGCAGGAATGTCCTCTCATGGAGGTTGTTCTACTGTATTGGTGATGGAAACTGTCCGTTGTAGAGAGGTGTCCTCTCATGGAGGTTGTTCTACTGTATTGGTGATGGAAACTGTCCGTTGTAGAGAGGTGTCCTCTAGTGGGAGTGTCCTCTCATGGAGTTTGTACTACTGTATTGGTCAGGGAAACTGCCGTTGTAGAGAGGTGTCCTCTAGCAGGAATGTCCTCTCATGGAGGTTGTTCTACTGTATTGGTGATGGAAACTGTCCGTTGTAGAGAGGTGTCCTCTAGTGAGAGTGTCCTCTCATGGAGGTTGTTCTACTGTATTGGTGATGGAAACTGTCCTTTGTAGAGAGATGTCCTCTAGTGGGAGTGTCCTCTCATGGAGGTTGTTCTACTGTATTGGTGATGGAAACTGTCCTTTGTAGAGAGATATCCTCTAGTGGGAGTGTTCTCTCATGGAGGTTGTTCTACTGTATTGGTGATGGAAACTGTCCGTTGTAGAGAGGTGTCCTCTAGTGGGAGTGTCCTCTCATGGAGTTTGTACTACTGTATTGGTCAGGGAAACTGCCGTTGTAGAGAGGTGTCCTCTAGCAGGAATGTCCTCTCATGGAGGTTGTTTTACTGTATTGGTGATGGAAACTGTCCGTTGTAGAGAGGTGTCCTCTAGTGAGAGTGTCCTCTCATGGAGGTTGTTCTACTGTATTGGTGATGGAAACTGTCCTTTGTAGAGAGGTGTCCTCTAGTGGGAGTGTTCTCTCATGGAGGTTGTTCTACTGTATTGGTGATGGAAATTGTCCGTTGTAGAGAGATGTCCTCTAGCAGGATTGTCCGCTCATGGAGGTTGTTCTACTGTATTGGTGATGGAAACTGTCCGTTGTAGGGAGGTGTCCTCTCATGGAGGTTGTTCTACTGTATTGGTGATGGAAACTGTCCGGTGTAAAGAGGTCTCATCTAGTGGGAGTGTCCTCTCATGGAGGTTGTTCTACTGTATTGGTGATGGAAACTGTCCGTTGTAGAGAGGTGTCCTCTAGCAGGAGTGTACTCTCATGGAGGTTGTTCGATTGTATTGGTGATGGAAAATATCCTTTGTAGATAGGTGTCCTCTCATGGAGGTTGTACTACTGTTTTGGTAATGGAAACTGTCCGTTGTAGAGAGGTGTCCTCTAGTGGGAGTGTTCTCTCATGGAGGTTGTTCTACTGTATTGGTGATGGAAACTGTCCATTGTAGAGAGATGTCCTCTAGCAGGATTTTCTTTTAATGAAGGTTGTTATACATAATTCTACTGTCCTAAAAGTTCATGTCCCAAAGTTTACTTAAATACCATTTCTAAGATTCCACCCTTCAGTGTAACATATATAAACAGAATGATCCAATACAGTATTAGAGCTCTGAGAAACGGTCATGTAGATTAAATTGGTGTAACTGCTGGGAAGGTTCACCACTGATGAGCCAAGCCCTCCGAATATTTTTTCATCGCAGTAAGGACAGTAGAAGTTTGATTTATTTGTTAAAAGAAACATTCGCGTCTCATTGCAATTATGTCCTAATCACAATTTAAATATCATTAACTATACGAAATTTGAAATATTTTTGACGGGTATAATTCTATTTTTTTAATTGGATAAATAAATTTTCTACTGTCCTCACTGTAATAATAAAATAATGGGAGGGCTTGGCTCATCAGTGGTTAACCCTTCCAGCGGTTTCGCCAGTTTAATCTACCATACCGCTGTAATATTGCTATTTTCGGTTTTCCTTTTATAGTTATACT